TTTTTTTTTTTTTTTAAGATTTTATTTATTTATTTGTCAGAGAGAGAGGGAACATACAAGCAGAGGGGGGTGGCAGGCAGAGCAGGCAGAGGGAGAAGCAGGGAGCCTGATGCAGGACTCGATCCCAGGACCTTGGGATCGTGACCTGAGCCGAAGGCAGATGCTTAACTGACTGAGCCACCCAGGCGTCCCTTGCTTCTGTCTTCTAAATATTTCTTAAAAGTGTACCCTCTCCAATACCTACCACCTTAGTGTCTTTAAAATGACCATTTTTACAATTCTCACTATCAAAGCCACACAGCTAGGGCACTGCCATAGCCATCAGGCTGGTCTTCTCCTCTGTCCTCAAATTTATACCCAGTATCCAGAGGGATATAGCTAAAACACAGGTCTGAACATGTTACTGGGACCCTTATAACCTTTTACTGGTTTCTCATCACTCACGGAAGAAAGTGGAAATTTCATAACATAATATAGAAGGTCTTTACAATCCAACAGGTGCCTTCAGGGAATTGAGCAATTCACTGATTCAGGAGTAAAGAGTAAAGCAGAGAGTCATGAGCTAGAAGGTTCCTCTGCCTGCACATATCACGCTGCTCTTCATCTTCTACTTTCTCAACTTCCCTCTTCTTCTATTTGGTATCCTTCTGCAGATCTTTTCATACTCCGCTGAAATGTCTCTTTACCTTGTATTTTTCCTGAACCCTACAACCACCCTTCCCTAGCCGTGTTGTGTGAAATGCCCTTTTATGAGTTTCTGTAGTTCCTGGTGCTTATCTCTGTGATCACTTGTACCTCATTCCATTGCTTTCTACTGTGTGTCTATCTCCTCCACTCAATAATGAGTCCCCTGAAGGCAAGGATGTTTTATTTATCATTATTTAACTAGTCCCTTATGTAGTCAGTAAACATTTGATGAATGTATTATTGAATGAAAGGATTGTTTCTAAGACCAAAATTATATGATTCTAGGAAATGAAGGGATGGCCTTTTTTTAAAAAAAAGGGAAAATGGAAGAGAGACACAGTGAGAGAGGGAACACAAGCAGGGGGAGTGGGAGAGGGAGAAGCAGGCTTCCCGCCGAGCAGGGAGCCCGATGCGGGGCTCAATCCCAGGCCCCTGGGATCGTGACCTGAGCCGAAGGTAGGTGCTTAATGACTGAGCCACCCAGGCGCCCCAAGAATGGCCTTTTTGAGGGTAATAGTAACATATCACTTAAACATCAAAGGAAGTAAATCTATTTTTTTTTTTTATTTTGCTATTTCAGTCCATCCATGGCTACTGCATCATATTGGTACCTATTTTAGTTATCAGGAATCTTTACTGATTGTAATTTCTCAATTTGATGCTTCAAAATCTGTTGTAGCTCAGATTTCTCTTCCAGCTTCCAGCTATTTACTCAGCATGTTTATTTGGGTTATCTTGAATATATCACTTTGTGTCCAAATCAAACTCGTTTATCAAACTACTTCCTTCTCCATTCTTCCCAACCCCAATATTTGATATCTCACCTTCTCACTTGAACAATGCAGAAACCTAGGCCTGAGTTTTGTCTCTTTCCTTTCACTTACTCCTTATAGCCAGTCGGTCACCAAGTCCAACCACTTCTGTCTCCTAGCTGTATCTCACATCCATCCATTTCTTTTCATCCCTGGAGCCACTCCTTTGTCCAAGTATTATTTACCTCCTTCTACTGGATCACTACGAAGCCTCCAAACTAGTCTTCCTATACCTACCTCACAGCCATTTTGTCCCACCATGCATTGGAAACTGCTCTGATCAAGGTCACCACTCCATCATCTTACTTAAAACATTTTAAATCAGTCAATTCTCATTTTCACCATCTCCAAAAATGGCAGCTCTGCCCTTCAAACTGTTTAAGCTCAAAATCTTGTAATCATCTTTGATTCCTTTCTTTCCCTCTCTATTCAATTTGGTGATTCCGCCTTCAAAACATATCTAGAATCTGACCAGTGCTCCACAACTCCTTTATCCAAACCATCATCAATTCTCACCAGAATAAATGCAATAGTCTCATCTCTAATCTGTCTTGTTTCCCTGTAGTCTAGTCACAGCAGAACAGCCAAAATGTCCGTGTAAACAGTAATCCAGAGTCATCACTGCTCTGCTCAAAATCCTGCCCTGGCTTCTGTATCTCCCCATCTTCTGGACTCTGCTACTTCTCTAGCCCTTGCTTACTCTGCTCCTGTTAGACCAGTATTCTTGCTGTTCCTCTAACATACCAAGCTGACTTTTGCCTCAGGGATATAATACATATGTTGTTTTTCCTGGGACACCCTTTCTTAGATAGCTATAAGGTTTATTTCCTCATGTTTCCTTTAGGTCTCTGTTTAGATGTTATTAAGAAGCTTTCCCTGATCACATCTTTAAAATTCACATACATCATTCTTCTCCACCTTCTGATATTCTTATCCCCTTTCTTTGCCTTATTTGTCTTCAGAGCAGTTACAGCTATCTGAAATGCTGTGGTTTACGTATTTGCTTGCTGTCTCATCCCTCAACAAAGAATGAGGATTTTGTTCAGTTTGTCGATGGCTCTTACCCTAGCACCTAGAATAATGCCTACTACCACACGGTAGACACATATTTGGTGAATGACCAAATGCATCTATCCATTCTTGCCTCTTTATAATTACTTCCTGTACTTCACTGTAGGTAGTTATTATAAAACTCCAGAGTTGTAATATATCACTGCCCTGTTTAAAGCTCTTCAACAGCTCTTCATTGTCATTAGAAAAAAAAAATATAAAAAGCTTAATGTAGAATAATGGCCAGGACCTTTTATTTATAAGTGACAGAATTTCAACTCAACCTACTTAGGATTAAAAAAGGAATTTATCATCTCAAATACTAAGAAGTCCAGGGGTTGAGCTGACATTAGGCATAGCTGGATTCAGATGTTCAAACAATATAATTGAGTGTCTGTCTCTCTTCCTCTTTTTCTCCCCCTCCATCTGTAGGTCACTTTCCCATGCTTGAGAATGATAATGGTATCTTTCATCCTTGTACACATTCCTGCCCCAAGCCTAACCTATTCTTTATGTTTTTTTTCTTGAGAGAGAGTGTGTATGTGAGCAGGGGGATGAGAGGGACAGGGAGATAGGGGGAGAGAGAGAGAATCTTAAGCAGGCTCCATGCTCAGCATGGAACCCAACATAGGGCTCGATGTCATGACCCTGAGATCATGACCTGAGCCAAAATCAAGAGTCGGAGGCTTAACCGACTGAGCCACCCAGGCATCCTAAGACTAATATATTCTTAACATAAAAGAAATTCATTGCCAAATGAATATTTCAGCCTTCTTTTTCTTTTTATTGCCAGATTTAACCACTTATGATACAGTGAAACACTATTTGGTACTGAATACACCACTTGAGGACAATATCATGACTCATGGTTTATCGAGGTAGGTGATTATTTTAGTTTGAATTATTTTCTATATTACTTTTCTTCATATTTGGCATAAATTCTAACCTTTTGTCTCTTTTGATCGAGAATCTAGTGATATTACCCTTAGAGTAATGTGATAGTACATTTAAAAAGAACAATTTTCTTAAAATTTTTTGCAGTTAAAACGGGGAAGAGAGAGACAAAATTGCAGAATGTTTCATATTAAACGATCCCAAATATTTGCACCTTGATGGGACCCTCCTGGAGTCAGATTCTGTTGATCAATTCTCCAATTCAACTCCACAGATATGTTTGAGCATCTTTTATGATAAAGGGACCTGCAGGGCCCTGCAGTGGGTACAAAGGGTAATCCAGGCTCCTTTGCAGGGAGTTGACCAAGGGGAAAACAAGACAAATATAAAAATATACAGGGGCACCTGGGTGGCTCAGTCAGTTAAGCATCTGCCTTTGGCTCAGGTCATGATCCCAGGGTCCTGGGATTGAGCCCTGCGTTGTCATGCTCCCTGCTCAGCAGAGAGTCTGCTTCTCCCTCTCCCTTTCCCACTACCCCTCCCCTCTCTCTCTCTCAAATAAATAAATAAAATCTTAAATGCTGAAACAAAGTGACTAGTTTCTGTAGCATTCAGAAGAGGAAGAAAAAAATAACCACTTGGAGGGGCCTATAAAGGAGCTAGAATTAGGTGTTTTGAAGGGCTGTAGCTCTTGACAGAGACAGGAAGAAGAGCACTCCAGGAAGGAGCAGTATCTTATCTCTTTGCAACATAATTTCAGATTATCCATTAGATTGAGTTACTTTATAGATGTCTAGTGTTCATAACATTATAGTGATTTCATTTAGCTTCTGATCTTGTGTCCAAATTCCAGAATGCTTTATGCTATTTAGATGACCCCAAAAGTATATTAATAGTGTTGAACCAATGAGATTTGGAGATATATAGATATAAGCAATTCCTAATTCAGATTCACCTTAGCTTTATATTCCTAGAGTAGTTTTTCTTCATTCTTCCACTCTTAAAATAAGTGTGATCTTTAGTGCTACTAGAGCAATCTTTGTCTATGTCTTTGCTTACCATTCTTTTCCATTCCACATTCTCACCCAGATTTGTTCACAAGCTACACCAGATTTTCTGTAGCCAATAGTCTGGCCTCCTCTTTCAGAGAAAACTGAGGATTTTGGCCTCCTTCCACTTCTTATTTCCATCCTGATAAACATATGTATTATATCTGTATCTACCCTTGCCATCTTTCCTGCACTATCTTTGTTGATGCTGTTCACTCTGCCCAGGAGACTTTTGTCTCCAGTTTCTACCCAGCTGAGTCACCTTGTGAGACGTTTTCATCTTTCAAGATGCTGGTCTGTTCTGGTGTTATGATCTACTCCAGAAGCAAGATATTCAGGTCTGTCCTATAGTACCACATTGATATTAACACTCTATTTCATTGTCTTTCTATCCAAATGGTCTTTGAAATACCACATCTAGCCAAAGAATCATGGATTTCCTGGCAGGTGTAAATCTTCCTAACATATACTACCCTACCAAACAGATCTGTCTTTTGTGGAAAAACAAGATTTCCAGCTGTATATATTCCAGTCCTAATGTGAAATAACTTAGTCTTATTCTTCTCTAATTCAGGTTTTAGGATGATGGGCATTTGTTTCCTTTTTAAGCTGTACCCACTGGATCAGTTTTTTAAATGGGTTGGTATGAATATGTGTGGTATATGAGGCAGCTCAGAAGTTGCTAATGATGAACTCAAATCTAAGTAGATAAATGGTGCTATGTGGTCTGGAAGTTCTGGATACTGTGTCCTAGAAGAAAATGAAGGGGATTGTAGCTGTACAACCAGAGAGCTTTATATGAGACATCCAACACCTAAGGAAAAAAAAATTTTGATATAAAGAAGAATAAAAACGGTGTAAGCACTGAACTGTGCACTTAAAAATGATTAAAATGGTAAATTGTATGTTGTGTCTATTTTACCACAATTTCTAAAAATGGGGTAAGTAAAAAGTCCTGGGGTAGGGCAGGAGCAGAAAAGACAAGCCAGGATTTTAGTGAGGTGGGAAGGCAGGTAGCAAGTTATGTTAATCAAGGAAACAGAGGAAAAGTAGGGAGTTGAATTAATGGTCAGGAAATGATATAGGACAGAAAGAGCAGGATAACCTTGTTTTTCTTCTTTTTAAATCATGAGGCTGTGGAGAGGTAAAACTGTAAGAAAGGCGAGTTTACTCTGTGTGAAGATGACACATGAGCATGCTTGTTTAGTTCATCCTTAAGAGGCTGGCTTTCTCTGAAACAGTGCTGATGGAGTATCTGAACCTGGTCTTGCAGATAGCCACGTGGCCTCCTGGAGAGATCAGAAGACTCGCCCAGTCACTTTCTGTCTGTTATCACTTCAGCTGTGTCCTCGGCTTCATTTTGGGCTGTTGCTAGCCAGGAGTGATGAAAGCCAATAGCAAAAAGCAGCAATGTCCATTTCAGTGCAAGTAACTTGGGTGAAATCAATGTTCCTTTTATTGCTCTATCTTTTCCCTTTGACTCTAGATACCATCTTCCTTGAGGCCTCCTGAATACATTATTCTGTCTTTTAATATTTATGTTTTAAAGAAGTCTAGCCAGATCACACTATATTAGGTGTTAGTTAAGAGGTTCCTTTGTGAAAATATTAAGGTATATTAAAACCAATGGTATTAAACTTTCAAAGAATCTGAACTAATAGGAAAGAATATAAAAAGAGCAGTAGTGTACACCTACTGGAATGTATACGGTGAAACAAGAGCTCTTTCCACATAGACAATATCTGTCGTGTGGACAGAGACCCAAGGACATTATATGCACAGTTGGGTCATTTGCTGTAATGTGAAAAAGGTTATATGGGTTCCTTCCCTTGAATTCAAGTATTTCTAAAGTAATTTTCCCCTTTGAATTATAAATCCTGACCTGAAAGAGGTAGACAAAATCTGGGTACTTTCTGCTACAGCAGTTTAGAGTAAGAGAGAGTATGAAGATTCCTAAGGTAGCTTCAACTTCCCTGCCATAGAGCCTTCAGAGACTTCAAAAGCCTTGGGACAGAAGTCAGTGGTCCTTATTTTTGTGAGGTATTTGATGTCCCAGAAGGACCTAAAAGTTTTTCACAATTTTCCTTTCCAGGTTTCCATTAGCCAAACATAAGCTGTTATTCAGGCTGCCTTGATCCCAGTTTCTGTAGATTCAGCTTATGGGATGCGGGACTTCATTCTCCATGACTCAGGTCAACCACCCCTTTTCTCATCATAGGTCTTTCTTGTGGAAAAGTTTAAAGCAGCTCGTGGGTTTTCAGTTTGTGGAAATTCATGCTCTGTATTGCCTCTCATGCCCACAAGTATAATGAACTACTAGTGATTTCTTAACTTTTTAGTCACTCATTTACTGAATTGCGACTGACTCTGCAGTAGGTTGACCACAGCCATTTTGTCTGTTCTGAGTAACTGACAAGAAGGAGCCATTAACCTTGTTGGGCAAAGGGAGAAGGGATAAATAGAAACTCATTAGACTTTATGCCTGAGCATAGACTGAAGGATAAACAGGAATTGTCCAGTTAGGTAGGGGTGCAGGCATGGAGGTGTTGCATAGTATGGTAAATACAGAGCTACACTTAGTTATATTGTCAGAGTGTAATGGGTGAAGAGAGATATGATCTTGGAGTAATATGTATGACAGCCAGTGTATGAGGTAAGTCAGGTAATAGGGAATGAGTCTTAGATGGCATAAAGTAGGGGAAAATGTTATAATTAGGCTTGTATTTTAGATTCCTTAGGATGGACAGAAGAAAGTAAGATTATATTCAAATGGAATAGCTTAGTGAGTGAGGCTTAAACTGGTCAAAGTGATTTTTTTATTGGTTAAATATTAACCAAATTAGGTGATTGCCCTGTGGAAGGTCCTCTCAGTGACTTTTGTTCACATCTAGAATAAAATCACACTCCTTCAGTAGTCTTCATGGGCTGATCTCTGCCTGCTTCTTCAATCTTTCATCTGGCTGGACTCCTTCAGGATGCCGTGGCCGTGTCGGCTGCTCTCTCTCTTCAGCCCACCATGGCCATTTCTGAGTCAGGGCTTGTCCTGGGCTGTTCCTCTGGCCTGCAACATTCTTCCTTCATGTCTTTACATAATTGTTCCTCACCATTCTGCTGTCACTCAAGAGCCTCTCCACGACGGCTTGTCACCCAGTTACTCCCTATCATGCTATCCCATTTTATTTTGTTTGTAGCACTTAACGGCATCTGAAATTATTCATTTCTTCTCTGCCTCTTCCTAAGTAAGGGCCTCAGGGACAGGATCCCATGTGTCCTCTTTACTGCCTAGAAGAGTGCCTGTCACCAGTAGGTGTCCAATGTATATTTGTTGACTGGACATTCTTTTTAAAAAGTTTTTATTTTTTTCTACCTCTAATGATTTCATTAAGCATTGATTTTAAGCAAAAGTAAGATTATTATGAAGAATAATACAGTAATATATTTAGTATTCTATTCTTTCTAACTATCAAATTTCCTTTTCTTACAATTTAGAAACCGCTATATTTATTATCCTTCAAATTCATTTATTTGTATTTATAGTTTATGTTCTGGACTGGTAGCTTCTATTCTGGGAACCCCTGCTGATGTCATCAAAAGCCGAATAATGAATCAACCACGAGATAAACAAGGAAGGTAGATACAAAGTCATTACTCTCCATGTGTTCAAATGTCTGTAATAATAATGTTCCTTAAAGATGTTTCCTTGTATTTATTCTTGATAGAAATATATCTGTGTGATCATGTCTTCAACCAGCAAACTGTTTTTATGTAATTACCTGCTCTTTGTCTGATGGAAAAATACTGTGCATTTGGGGATATAAGTTAATTTAATGATCATATTCTTTAGACACAAGGTATTTATTGTGATTTTATTGTTTTCAAAGAGTTTATGAAAATATACTCTGCTGAGAATTTACAGAGCACTTTCTTCAGAAGCTTATGACTTACAGGTAACATGGAGAATTTGATTTGATATAAAACAGTATGTTCTCTCTGGAAGAGATCAGGTGGAGTGAATTCTAAGTATAAGACTAAGGGTGGGATGAATCCGAAGAGTCAACCTTAGACACCTAAAGAAATTATCTTTAAACTCGAAAGAGGTGATTTATATATACTGAACCACAAATATTTGTTTTAAAATAGCAGAAAATGTTTGTTTCCTTATAGTAAGTTTCTTTAGATTATTTTTTAATTTATGTGTTATTTATACATCTATTTACACACAAAAAGTTTAGCAAACTGTCCACTTTCCTTTTTAGGGGACTTTTGTATAAATCATCAACTGACTGCTTGATTCAGGCTGTTCAAGGAGAAGGATTCATGAGTCTATATAAAGGCTTTTTACCATCTTGGCTGAGAATGGTAACGTCAGGTTTTTCCTTCCTTTGTTTTTGTTTTCTTTGTACTTAAATTGCTTTTAATCTACACAAATATTTTCCCTTTTCTCTTTTGGTTTTTAGCATGGCTCTTCCCCCAAACCACAATTCTTTCTCTCCTTTTTATATCTCTTTTTGTTTTCTTTTTACCTCTCCTCAGAGTCCCATCACCTTCCTTGCTGGATTAAAGTAAAATAATTCAATTACATCTAGAAATGAATAGGTTGACATTCTGTTAGAAAGCCAGTGGATAGGGTTTTCTGCAATGTAAAACCTTTAGTAGTCCATTTAGCCAAAGTATTGTAAGTTTGGGACAGGTATAAAGATTTTATGCTAGAGACTATTCCTATGAAAATGTTACTGTTTCAAACAAAATTTGTTACTTTGCTGGCAAATGTTGCATATCCATTAATACTTACTACCACAAAGCTCAGCTTAGTAAGAAAGCATGTCATTTTTATTTGATCTGGGTATTACTTTTTACTGAGGTAAGCTAAGATGTAGAATTAGATAGACTTATTCAAGTAACATAAGATATATAATAAAAATAAGGTACTCAAGTATTTTGTAAGTTAGAACATATTTGAAAGAATGAACTAGTCATGGATTTAGAAATTCAAACAATCAACACTTTACACAATATAATAATATTAATTGAGCACCTAGTCCATGCAAAGCCCTGTACTCAATGCCTGGCTTTGGAATGAACAGGAGAATCTCAGGCCTTGCTCTAGTGCTGGAGCTTCTAATTTAGGTAAGGCCAAACACTGAATAAAAAACTAGAAGTGATGAGTGGCAAAGGAAAAGTGCATGGTGTTATGAAAATATATAGCAAGCACATACAGCCTAGGCTTGGAGATTAGAAACACCTTGGAGAACGGACTTTAAAATTGAGTTCTGAAGAATGAGTGGACTTAGCCAGGTAAAAGGAGCAGAAAAAACATTCTGGGTAGAGGGATAGTTGGAGTGGACAGAGAACATGATGAGTTCAGGGAATTGAAGGAAACCCAGCAGGCCAAGGCATGGAGACATGGATGAGAGAGGCACAAGATGAGGCCAGAGAGAGGCAGAAGACAGTTTGGGAAGGGCTGTAGGACCCGTAAGTATGAGGGGCACCGACTTGATGACATGTATGTTTTTAAAAAGATCATTCTGGCTGCCATGTGGGAAAGGCCCGGAGTAGTGGTAGATGAGACATAATGATAGCTTGCATGAGAGTATTACAATGGGGACAGAAAAAGATTCAAAAAATAATTTAGGAGATAGCAAGGAGCTAGAAGCATGACTGGATGGGGAGGGGAAAATGGTCAGAGAAGATAAGGAAAGTTGGGCTTCATTCCCAGATTCCCAAATTGAGCAACAGATGATGTAGTTTCCTAACATGGAGATCATTTGTAGGGAAGATTCCGTGGTAGAATAGCAAGCATAGTTCTAGATTTTTTAAGTTTTGAGTATTCATAGGACATCTAAGAACAGATGTCTAGATGGCTCCTTCATATTTCGATCTGGATCTTACAGAGCATATGGGGATGGAGATTTAGAGGTGAGCACCATCTACATATAGATGGGAATTGAAGTTCTGGGAATAAATGACATCACCAAGCAATAGTGGGTATCTATTGACATGGAGTTAATATCCAAAGCCCTTAGCAATATCTGATACAAAAGTGTACCCAAGTATAAAACCTTATTTTGATTGTCTTGATTATACCTTCAAATTATCTCAAATCTGTGGATATTTCTTAATGGAAAGGAAGATCCTGATTTGGCCTGCATGAACCAGGCACTATCTCACTAAGGAGTAAGATGCTTATTTTTTGCATGAGAACAGTTTATAATGTGTTGGAGAAGACAGACATGTAAGTAGTTAAAATTTCAGGAATAATAAAGCCAGTATTATTAAATCACTTGGTATTAGCACCAACACTGTGCTAATCGTTTTCATGGCTTAACTCACGGAATTCTCCCAATAATCTCTTCAGTAGGTTATTATCATATGTCTTTTACAGAGGAGAAACAAAAGCTTAAAGAGTCTGAATAACTTGGCCAAGTTAGGTGGTTATTATTTAATGGAGTCAGGAATCAAACCCAGGAAGTTTGACTCCAGAGGACGTGGTCTTACTAAGCAGGTTGTATTAGTACTCTACTTACGGTATGAACAAAATGGGGTGAGAACATGGATAGTAAAGTAAAAAATGGCTTTGCCTGTTTAGGAAGTCACAAAGTCTTTCACAGAGATGATATCTGATCTGAGCTTTGAAAGATCAGTGGGCATTTAAAAAGAAAGTCATGAGGGAGCAACATGAGCATAGGCATCAAGTCATGTGTGGACCCAATAGGTTTGGACAACTGCAGAAAATTCAGTATAGCTGAAGAACAGGTCCTCAGAGGGGATGTGGTGGGGCAGAATGCTAGAGAAGTACTTAAGGACCAGGTTAAGAAGGACCTTGTGGGGCAAGTTGAGTGGTTTAGGTGGAACCTGTAGTAAGCAAGGAGCTGTTTAATTGTGGGAGCAAAGTACTAAGGCTTGGTTGGGGACAGGATTATTCTGGCAGCAATGTAGAAGATACACTGAAAGCTAGAACCCAAGAAAGGAAGTCTTGGTCTAGCCTGGAGATAACTGTAAAAATGGAGAGAATGCAGATTCTAGGGCCATTTTTGGTTAACTCTACAGGATTTAATAATTGACTCTATGTAGAAGGTGGGGGAGGGAAGGAAGGAAATGGAACTTTTATATTTCTAGTGTGGAAGACTGTAAGGATGGTGAGACCATTAATGAAAAACAGAATCAGGGTCAGAAGGTATGGGGGCAGGGAGAATAAGACAAAGGAATACTGAGACGATTTAATCTGACCCATTCTCTTTATGCATGAGACTCAAGAAGTATAAATGAGAAAAAAGAGTACGTCATATATGACCGACACTGTGCTAAGCTCTTTATACACATTATTTGTTTTTAAGTCTTATAAGAACCTAGGGAAACAGGTGGTGTTATCCTCATTTTTCAGATGAGAAAAACATGGCTCCAAGTATAAGAAACTTGCTCAAGTTCATATATATACCTGGTATGTGGCAGAGCTGGGAACTGACCGCAGGTCTGTTCAGTTCTAAACCCATGCTCCTAACTAATACAATATACGGAGTGTCTCCACATCCTGCAGCTAGTTATAAAAGTTGTCAGGGGAAAGAGACAGTGTGTAGTGGTAAAGAGATGTTACTAGAGAAAGGCTGGCTACCCACCAGAGGTAACCAGGGTGGCACTGCCTTGTTGATCTGCCACAGTGTATGACCCTGAGTTTAAAAGCTGACTCATGGGCACTTCCAAGTAAATTGGCCTTGCAAATACAGATTCACCCTCAACTGAACTCACTGAAACTGATGATCAAACCACAGTATTGACTCATTCATGTTGAGAAACACACTTGGCAAGGGATCCAGATGCTGAAGTCCTCTGAACAGTGTGCTTCCTCCTAAATTCAAGCTATACGTGAAGGCAAGTTATAATCAGAAGGTTGCTTGCTAAACATAGAATAGTAACAGGAGGAGCTTATCCATAATCTTAGTATTTAGGAATACCCAAGAGCCCTTATGTTCAGCCCCACAGTAAAAGGCACGGAGAAGGACTCTGTTTTCCAACAGGCAGACCAGAGCAGACAACACGGGTTCATATACACTTGCATTATTTACCGTGTTATAACTATGCTAGGGAAGAAAAAACAAGTAAACATGCCATGCCCTCATGTGCTCCCACACAGCGGCTCAGTATACGCCATTTGTATAATACTGCTGTTATTGGCTATTTGATCTCCCTGTTTAACTTCTATTCATAACCCAGCTAAATTCAACCTCAGTCCCTTCCACTAGGTAAAGGTAGTATGACCTTGTTTTGCTCACTCACTGATTAATATTTACTTCATTTGCATACAGAAGTCTGACTACCAGAGCAGCTAGGAATGATTACATAATCCACTCTTAACTAAGACCTCTATTCCTTGATCTGATTGCAGTTATATCACTGGCTCACTTCATTTTTGTTGTCACAAGAATATTATATAAATATATATATATATATATATATATATATATATATTCTTTATTTTGTCCGTGTCTCCATTATATTTAACTAGCCAAGATGTGTTCTAAATCCACTGGTAAAGTCTGTCTCCCAATGTAACATGCTCAGTATTTCCAAACACAGGACATAAATATTGCTGTGCAAACTCTCTAACCAAATACATTTTATATTCTAATTGCTCAAGCTTCTTTTTTGACTCTAGTATGATAGTTTCTCTCTGGTCAATATTACCTATCACCTATGAACCAAACCAGACAGGAACTGGATCCAAGATACCCTTTCTCTGATGATTACTTCCAGTGTTTCCTCTGCAATTTCCTTCTGTGTCTCTGTTGTTTTTATCTTCTGTTGTTGAAAAACCCTCATCCCTTTATAATTCCTTTTGATGCGGTTATACTTTCATTCATGTTAGTCAAGTCTTTCTGAGCTGGAAACTCTTTTCTCTCTTTAATGTGAAATTTTATATCCATTTTGTGATATATCAGGTGTTGAGCTTATGATCTAACTCTCAAAGGATAATCTTTCATCTTCACTTTCAAGTTCTTAACTGTCTCCTTGTCACGCTCCACAGACAAACTACACACAGAGAAGCCCAGTCTACAATTCAGGCATACCGAGTCTCAGCCTCTTAGCCAGGAAGGGTTCAGTAGAAGGAACCCTAGAATGGAAGCCAGAAGCCTATACTCCAGCTTTTTGATTACTAAGCCTCAATGTCCTCATCTGTAAAATAGGGATATCATTACCTTTCCTTTCTATTGTAAATTGTTCAGAGAAATCTATGAGAAATAAGACATGAAAATATTTGTCAATTATAAAGTGCTCTATAAAGGTGAAATACCAAAGTATTTGTTTTCAGCCTAAGTGGATTCAAAATTACTTTGTCATTCAAAGATGTATATGCATAAATGTAGAATATTCATAATCACTTTGAAATATGCACTAACTTCTTTGGTTAATCTTTCAGACCCCTTGGTCACTGGTGTTCTGGCTTACTTATGAAAAAATCAGAGAGATGAGTGGAGTCAGTCCATTTTAAGCCCTTAAAGATGCAGCCCTTAAAGATACTGTGTTCAGTATCATTGAAATATGGGCATCTACAACACACACCCCTATTATTTCTACCTCTTTAGGAAGACACCTTACTCCACAGAGACTGTGATTTATAGGGGGCAGCACTTTGTTTTTCTCTGGAAACCCAAGTTCTCTTTGACTCCTCTTTTTGTTCAAAAGCAATCTGGTTGGATTACACAAGGCCACCTAATGAGACCCGGCACAGAATTTCAAGAAGATTTGAATCCTGAGCACTTATCTTGGGCGAGAAGATTTGACCTTTGAGATGCTATTCTATGCTGAGGAGCCTACTTAGAGAATTGCCAAAAGGGAGACAGCATCTCAGACCTGAAGTAGACAATAGGAATCTGGAAGAATACATACATACGTAGTGATTCAGAAATATATTTAAACTGTTGTCAGTATTTTCAATTGAAATTTGATGACTCCTTTTTCTGTTGTTAAAGTGCACATACTGTAAATTAAAGGGAGGTGAATGAAAATTCATGAATAAACATTTTGAATTTCCCTAGTGGTGAAGGAAGTTGATGTACTTTTTCTTGCCAAGAGGACAAAAAACATCAAGTTGAGATGATACTTGATTTCAAGGAGAGGAGCTTCTTTCTGGCAGTGTCCCATCTTTAGTTAGATCTGCATTATTGACTAGCACTCCACTGCACATGCTAAGGACTTACCGACAGCCACAGACTGAGTCTTGATGAACATAGAGAAGAGCATTTGCTTTGTTACATATGCCATTGCAACCAGAGTTTGTCTCTGGCCCCCAAGAATCTCGATATATAAAAAAATGCAGCTTGTCTGAGTAAAGCTTAGGTGGGTAGGTCCTTTTCATAAAGCAACTTGTTATTATCAGCCTTTCAGGGGCATTTCAAAAGCAAGGCTGAGATGAAGTCAGCCAATTCAGACAGGCATCCTTTCTCATCTCTCCTTCCCTAACACTAAGGGCCAGAGAGAGAGAACTCAGAAATCACACTGAAGCTGTCTCTAGCCTGAATCTTACCCAGTTCTGAAAAGCTTCCTGCCTAATGAGTGATGAGTATAAACTGCCTATGGTATACATTTATGTCTCCAATCATTGAATCAAATACCCTTTTCTTATTTTAGAAAGGTGAGATTTTTCTTCAGATTGACCTATATGCCACCTGTTCCCCCAACCTCAGACAGTGGGCATTTCTGGAGGCATAGGAACACTCAAAAAGCTTAGACCCAAGAAACACCTTGGAGTTAACCCAACAAAGTTTGTCGTGGACATAGAGGATGTTGAACAAAAAAAAAGTTTACAAGTGCTCTGTGGTTGCACTAATGTATAAGCACTGCCATTTAAAAGGGGAAGTATACTTTAAAATATATTTTAATGTGATGTACTAATATGCAGTGGCTTATTGTTTTTCTATGAAACTTTCAGAATGTGGAGTTTAGTCAAAATCTGTTGGTGGTCTACTTTTCCATTGCATCTGTCAATCTGTATGAATTGAGTTGTTAAATATATTTAAAATAATATTATGTACTTAAATTCCCAAGTGTTCTGCATTGGGACCACCTTTGGGAACTCTTTGGGTTTTCATGTTTTATAACTTTTAAAATTAAGACTGGATCAAAATATACCAACTGGACCATGAAAAACATTATTTAGCTTTATTCTTTGAGGGGCGTGGGGTGAAAACACTGTTTTAAATACTGAGACTGTTCCTTGATATCTGGATTCAACATGAAATTGGAATTTTTTAACCTGAAGTGACTCCTTGGGATCATCTGGTTTAATCCTCTCATTTTACGTGTTATGAAAGAGAAGCCCAGAGAAGTAGAGCTGCTTATGCTCATAGGTTACTTCATAACAGAGCCTGGATAAAAATATAGATTTCCTAATTATTATTATTATAATTGGCAGTTATTATATACTAATTCAGTACACAGTCAATACCTTATGTTATCTTCACAACAACCCAGTCCAGTGCTCTTGAATCTTCCAAAAAAAGATTTGTCTTTATGACATTTTTCTGTCTTACACATTTTAAATAAATCTGAATTGTCTTTAACACAAATTTTAAAATGGAGTCATCATGCCTTAGCTTGAACATTAAGGACCTCCACCTTCTGACCAAATCCTTTATATCTAACACATATGTCTCTTCACATTTCATATTTTTCCAGTGAAGTCATATTCATTAATGTGTCTTGGAATTTTGCTCTATCTTTACCAACTTGAAATCATCTTGATCCTCTTCAAAATAACCCACAATAAATAAAAAGGAATAAAAATTTCAGTAATTTTGTGTCCACACTAAAAGACTTAACCATTTCAGTCTCACTTGTTGATTATAATACTACTGAATGTGGTATTTATCCTCACTATTGAATACCTAGCATTTAAGTTTGTTTTGCTTAGCTTCCACATTTTTCTCTTCCCAAATGATTTTTTCTCATTGAAAAATAGTTATTTTTAGTTATATACAATTGTTTTTTATATGTATAAGTGAATTAGTATGCATATCTAAATAGAGATAACATTTCTTAAATTTGCTTTTAGTAAGGAATAAAGTGTCTTTATCAAGTGCTCCAAGTCCTATTTCGTTATAACCCACTAATGGTAGGACCATGTCTTTTATTTATTTATTTATTTATTTAAATTTTTTTTTATTCTTATGTTAATCCCCATACATTACATCATTAGTTTTAGATGAAGTGTTCCATGATTCATTGTTTGTGCATAACACCCAGTGCTCCATGCAGAACGTGCCCTCCTCAATACCCACCACCAGGCTAACCCATCCCCCCACCCCCCTCCCCTCTAGAACCCTGTTTGTTTTTCAGAGTCCATCATCTCTCATGGTTCGTCTACCCCTCCGATTTCCCCTGCTTCATTCGGACCATGTCTTTTTTTTATATAAATCTTTACTCTCATTAGTAGCATTTCTTTGCTGTTAGGTACTCAACAAAAATTTATTACAATTATATATAACATAAATCAATTAATTTTGTCTTCATTATTTTAAGAATCTATCATAGACTAGTCTGAAATTTCCTTTTGCTAAGGAAATAAAAAAGGGAAATAATTCAGGGAGGTGTTAAATGTAAAAAAAATGCTGTTCTGTCATCTTCACCTTTTTAAGCACAACCATTTATTTACAACTGAAATAGTTTACATGTTCTTCTCATTAATGAAAACAGATTCCCTCAGAACCTCCACTGGAAAAAAAAGTGTATTTTATTTTAATACATGATGGTTAAAAAATTGAGGGGGGTAATCAATTCTCTTCTCCCCAATTAAACCAGGACTCTTTAAAAATGACTATCAAACAACTAGATATTATTATTAAATGCCAGGTAATGCGGAGGGCAGATTGAGCATGAATTCTAAAGAACTTTATCCAATTCGGGTTCTACTTCTGACAAAGTAACATAACTATGAGCAAGTCCTTTCATTTCTCTTGATTTCCATTTCTTTATATGAGGAAGTGACTGAACTCTAGAATCTTCTAGAATCTTAACTTGCATATACTTGAGGGTGAGCATTATATTGATGTCATGGAGAAAAAAGCCAGGATTTTAAAAAATTTGTGGGGATTTGCTTTTTCCTGAATTTGATTAACTTCTCATATTTCAAACTTGGTTAAGGTTTATTCAGGCCTTAAAGTATAATACAAACTTTTTATATGGGTGGCCTGTCTCAGGAGAAAATCCTCCCTCACAGAGTAGCAGAGTTCTCTTTGTTCAGGCAACTCTGGGCACATTACCCTAAGTTCTTACTTTCAACTGCATCTTTAATGCCACATCCAGGACCCTCTCATTCTGACTCCAAGCCATTTTCCTACCCCTTGCATTTCACTGCATACCTGCACTCGACCTCCTTGCAAATGCATTGCTCCACTTTTTTCTCTGGAGATGCTCTTCACTTGGCTGCTTCTCATGCAGTGCTCCTGCTGTGCTCCCCACCTAACTCTGCTCCCATCACTACCCCCCATTCATGCTCATTTTTGGGTTAAAGCCTACTTTAATACCTAGAATTATCTCGGAAGACTTCCACATTTTCAACACCTCTGTGCTCCTACTGCTTCCCTTACTGAGGATGTGTGTCTGTATATATGGAGCAAACATGATAAAGTCACATGTTGTTTTTCTCCTACCTTCAGAATAATTAACGTTGGGTCAGTAACAGGTGATTTCATGAGCTTCTTTACCATACTAACTGCTTAACTGCATTTTCAAAAGATCGTGTGTGTTTAAACATATGTAATTGTTATAATGTTTAAGAAATATTCAATAGTTAAATAGCTATTTCACAAAAAAACCCCTGAGAATTTAATAGTTTAATACAAAATATTTGGTTAGTTAGTAGTTAATAATGTGACCAGTTTCTATTATTCTTCCTTTTACAGTGTGTATGGAAATTACATCACTATTTTGGCCTTCATTGGTAGCATACAAATGCACATTTACCCACTCAAGTGTTTTATTATTTTTGAATTTTGAAGAATACATGATTACTTTTCTCTCCCCGTACTTTACCCCCAACAGGCTGCTGTGATTGTCAACAGCAGCAGGAACCACTTTGAAGGTTTGATTAAAGCAGATGAAGATGCTTAAAGATGTCTGTTTGCTGAAAGTATCTGGTAACAAACAGGAATATATGTGAGTAAATCTAGTGCATTATTCTGATTTTTAAAATAAATGTCTTAAAATGCCTGATTGGTTGTAAAAGGTTTTGTTTTTGTCTTGGCATGGTTTTGTCCTGATGTATTTTGAAGTTAAAATGGTAATAGCAAATTTAGAGATAATTTTTAAACCTTAATCTTTACTTTTCACAATTGAAATAAAAATTGGCTTAATTTAGGTATCAGATTTGAAATCTTTATATTAGCAAAAAAAAAAAAGAATGCTCATGCCTTGTCACTATAAATTTATTAATTTAAAATAAATCCATCTCTGCTAGTGATCCAGTTCTCCTATTAGTCCAGTTCTGCTGTGACTAAAAAGGATTGACAACTGATAATTACAGTGTTGGGCACAGTCACTGGCTGAGGATAGAGGAGGAAGAGAACAATGGAATGCCTTGAAACACTGGAGAGTCATTCTCTTCTTTTTTAATACCATATTCTACTTTGATTTCCATGAGACTATTTCCTTCTGTTGCTTACTATTTTTCAGTCTCTACTGGCCATTTCTTTGCTGCATCGTACTTAAATTTTGGTTCTCTGAGGTTCTGTTCTTGGCCCTCTTGTCACTTTTCACTGTCTCTAGGAAGAGTCAGGCAGTTCTGTGACTTCAGCTACTACACTTAAGCTGGTAATTCCCAAACATTCACCATTGCTCAGTAAATGATAGATGTTGCCATTATCTGTGTTTCTGGCCCTTACACAGTTCTTAGGCTTTAGTCAAGTTTTCTCAGTTGTCAACTATATACCTCTTCCAGGATGGCCACAGTCCTTGTGAGCTGACATTTCCCAATATTACAGAAAATACTGTACAAATTTTGTACAAATATTGTACAAACTTCTGTATAGTGTACAAAAGTATCTGTACAAAAACTATTGTACAAATCCTTCCTCCCTGCCTTTTAAAATCTGGTCCTGCTCCAGGATTCTCTGTTGCACTACAAACTCACTAATGCAGCCAAGAGAGCTCAGGACAGCCTTGACTTCTCATTTGTTTTTATTTTTGTTTTTTTTACTTATCATCCAAAATGCTTAAATCCATTTATAAAAAAGATGACTACAGATCAATGTTTCTTAGGAACGTAGATGCAAAAATTCATAAATGCTACTTCATACCCATTAGGATGGCTATTAACAACAACAACATCAACAACAGAAAATAACAAGCATTGGTGAGAAATGTGGAGAAATTGGAACCTTTGGGCATTGCTGGTGAGAATGCAAAATGTTGTAGCTACTATATAAAAAACAGTATAGGGTTTCCTCAAAATATTAAACATAACATTATCACATGACCCAGCAGTCCACTTCTAGGTACCTAGTCAAGGAACTGAAAGCAGGGACTTGGACAGATAGTTGTACACCAGTGTGTAGCAGCATTTTTCACATAGCCAAAAGGTGGAAACCCAAATGTCCATAGATGAAAGTATGAATGGATAAACAAAATGTGGTGTGTATATATATATATATATATATATACACACACATACAATGGAATATTATTCTGCCTCAAAAAGCATTGGAATTCTGAGTCATGATACAACATGGATGAATCTTGAAAACAATATGCTGAGTGAAATAAGACAGACACAAATGAACACATATTGTATGATCCTACTTATATGAGATAACTAGAATAACCAAATTCACAGAAACAGAAAGTACAATAGTGGTTACTATGGCCTGGAATAGGGGAGAATGAGAAGTCAGTGTCTAATGGGAACAGAGGTGGGGATGATGGAAAAGTTCTAGAGATGGATGGTGGTAGCAGGAGCTTAATCTTCACGTGCAGTGGTCTGATTTTTTAAGTTCCCTGTCCAGCAGCAGAGCAATACAGAGCAAGTAAAGCTACCTCTCCTAGACACAGACGTGGGACATTGGAAATATTTGGGAAGATGGGAGCAAAAGGCTTTCAGCCTATAATGGCCAAATGGTATGCCGCTGTTATCCAGGAGTAAAGGCCCTGAACCATAGAAGGAGGTTGGGGGACAAGTTCGATAGAAAACAGAAGTCATTTACTCTGTCTACAACCCTGCAGTCTCCATCAGAGTTTGGTTATACTGCTTGAGCTAATATAATTTCAACAGAGAATTGAAATCTCCATTAGTCCATGGGATGATCAAACAATTCCAGATGATAATAAGACCATATTATAATGCACAACTTCCTTTCACCATAAATGACACAGTGCCACGTAATCCACTTATTCTCTTGTTAAACAGTTATTGCATGTTGACTAAAAGTTCCATATCGTGCTAGGCACTGAGAATATTAAATATATGAGAGGAGTCCTTGCCTTCAAGAAGTTCATATTCTGGTAGGAAGAGAAATAGTAAACAATTGCATGACATGATAGATATATCATATGTCACAAACACTAAATATAACAGAGGTGTGTAAAAGGGAAGGGATAATCAATTCCACCTGGGTGGATAGTAGAGGAAGAGGACATCAGAGCTAGATCTTGCTAGATGTTTTTAAATCAAATGTTTATTTTTCTTCCATCATGAATATAAAGCATTAATTAAATTTGTAAAATAAAACTGAATTTTCAAAGATGAGTTTATCAGATAAAAATCTAACTTTTTAAAGAAATCAAATGATTCTTTTATTCATTCAGCGAGTATTTATTGCCTCAGCTCCGTGATAGGTTCCAGGAATGCTCAAGGACAACTGCCATTAAAAAGTAAGCACAGGAGAGGCTCTTAGCTGGCTCAGTGCCTTAGAGCATGTGCCTCTTGATCTCAGGGTCCTGAGTTCAAGCCCCATGATGTAGAGCTTGCAAACAAGCAAGCAATAAAAACTTTAAAAAAGAAAAAAGCACAGGAGGCTTTGGCAACATGGGGTTACATCTAACTGGATAGATCGAAAATGCGAAGATTTACACTGTTAGGCCAGGATTATATTAAGCACTGTCTTGATTTTATCTACATTGTATTCGATATTTCAAAATGTGAAGGAGTGACATAAGAAACTCCCACAAATGTGCCTGACTTGGCAAATGAACGAAAATCCACTATAGACATCTCTGGGAGCTACTCAAAGTTTGCCTGCACGTTCCCTTCCCCTCCCTGCCCGAGTCTTCTGAGAGTTACCTTCGTTAAGATTTAGATGCGGGAACAGAACAAGGAGTCCAGCCAAGAGGTCCACTGCCGTAGTAGATACAGCCAAGAGTATCGAGTCATTTTTCTTCCGTTCCTCTAGACCCCCCTTTTTAAGTCCGGTTCTGTGCCAGCTCTGTGAGTAAAAGAACACATGCCTCCAAGGTTGGGAAGCCAGAACCAGGCAAACAAAAAAGCAGGGAAACTCAGACCAGTAATTGTGGAGAAGGAAGATTTAACAGTCTCCAAGTATATTCTTACTTTATTGTAACCCTCCCAACAACTCTATCAATTCAAGTGACCGAACGGGTTCATGGAAGAGGGTACGCAACTTGCTGGGGGTCACAACCCTAAAGGTGCACAAGCCACCCCCTCCGCCGCGGGGCGCAAGGGCATTCGCTCCGCCCCAGCCTCAGCCCGGGAGCGCGGGGCCCTCTTGAGAGTTCGGGCCCTAACGCCCCGGGCACGTGCCTTTGGCGCCTGCAGGTCTCCTTCCCGTTTCTCCGCAGCCTAGCACCGCGCCGGGCACACGGGGCTCGCTCAGTACTACGCGGCCGGCCGAAAGGCAAGCAACTCAGGGGTGTTCCCAGCGCCCCGCCCTCTGCCAGGCCTTCCCTCCGCGTCCTCCACGGTGGAAGGCGCTCTGAGAAGCTGCCACCGCGTGGGCCGCGGAACGGCCCTCGAAGCCCCTTCCGCCCGGCCTCGCCTCCGCCCTCCCCGGGGGTCCGGCTCCCCTGCGACGCGCCGGCCGG